CCAACACAGATAGGCAGGTAGAAAACATGTGGCAGCATCTGCCTTGTCCTTGTACCTAGCAGAGAGGCAAGTGCTGGTTGTGGGACTGGGCCCTACATGTTTCTGTCATGTTGTATGAACTATCTAGAGGGACTCCTTCATGGATGCATGGGAGGGAGCTGAGTGTGCTACTTAGAAAAGCAGTAGTCACCCATCAAAAATGAAATCAGAGTGATCTGTTGTCAGACTACTCGGTCCTAGAAATATGAAGAAACTCTAAGAGAGCCTCTGTAGCCAAAACATCATTCTCCTGGCTTGTTCCCTGACAGGAGACAAAAAAATGGAGCATCTGTTCTAATTAGTGGTGGGAGCTTGCTTCACTGGGATCAAAGGAGAAAGCCATATGAAGAATCAAGCTAAGATCAAAGTGTCCTATGTACAGGAAGGGCCTATTCCTCTTTCTGCTGACAGTGGCATACCCTGCTCTTCCTCCAGGCACGCTGCTTACAGGGATGCTTAATTACTAAGGAGGAGACTGCACATACAAGAGAGGGTGTAATGGCCATTGTAATCCAATTCTAGGAGATAATTTGGTGGTGATTGAGTCTTGTTGCCTCTCACAAGTCATTAAACTTCTCTGAATGCTTAGAAAAGATCTGGACTGTGTACTTTTGCAAGAGGAGACCCTTTACAACATCCTTTGCTTAGTTTTTCTGACCTCTTATGTGTAATTTGACTTACTAGACTGGGCTGTATGCGTATGCATATATCTATATTTGCATTTATATCTACCCAAGGGAATTCAAGTCCTCATTCCTTAGGCTGCATTGAAAAATCCTTGTCCCAATAGATATGCTAAATTTGAAATCTCTTCCTCCCTCTCTCCTTTGCCTCTTTCTTTTTGCATTAATGCAAAGCTGTATTTTTGCAACTCCTAATTTTGAAATGTTTAAACATGTAACATTTGGTTGAGTTTTCGTACTAGGTGTCCTCGTGGGCATACAGATTTATAAGTCTATGTGTCTTTGTGTGCATCCACCTGTGTTTAGGGCCATGAGTACTGATGTGGAAGGATGCAGTCACACAGATCCTTCCATAGATGGACAAGGACATGTGTAAGTGTGTTACATTTTCTAGTAGTCTGAGATATAAAGAAAGACACTGTAGCTTCTGAAGAGGATTTGATCTTTGCTCTTTCAGCTGTCTCCCTGGGAAAGGAATTGCAGTGTAGTAATGCGCCCCTGGTGCTGTATTAACACACCATCCTACCTCCCTGTTTATGCTGGTGGAAGAGGACTTTGCCTAGATTTGGTCTCCTGACTCCCCTGTCGCCTTGCTTAAGCTTACTTGTCAGAAGCTGTTGTGTGTGTTTTCCCCAGCTGTAGCCCTGCAGGTGCCACTTAGCTTAACAAAACGAGTCCTTGTCTTTAAGTGCCACCTGCCTTGTATGAATCACGGGGCAAAGAGCAGCTGGCAGGCCCTGGGATGCACGAGGCAAAGGCGCGTCTGAGGAGCTGGTTTGCCTGGTGGTTTAACAAGACAGAGACAGGATAGCAAGATGGGGGGGCAGTGGTTGTCTTGCATGCCAGATTCAAAGCAGCTCCCCTTGGCAAGAGAAATGGACAGAGACCTCAGCTCTTCCTTAGTGCCCCCCTCTCCACCCAACCTCCCCATGTCATTCAAATTAAAAGAGATGCTGTGGTGTTCTAAAAGGGGGAGAAGATTATGGAGGCTGTGGGGTGCTGCTGGGTGAGAGTGAGGCACTGGCAGAGCAAAGGGAATATGATACGTTTTCTTCGCTTTTTTAAAATTGTTCATAAGTAGATTGGGAAATTCTCAAATGTATTGAAAATTATTTTTACAGTGAAGAAATTATGCATGTTCTATTTTAGTGTTTTTGTTATTCTGCAGGATGTTTACAATCAACTAATAGTAAATATTAGGAGTAGCAAGAGGGTAGTTAGGTATGAAAATCACATCATCTTGATGATTGAGTGATTGATGTAACTAAACCTGCAATGCAAACTGTAAACTCTAAGTTTTCCAGTAAATTTGCTATTAGTGAATACTCACAATTAAGTATTTCTTTTCCTGAATGACAAGAATTTGAATGTGTGGGTTTTTCTGGAGCGGGAAGTGGAGGGAATAAGTGATGGGGCAGAAGAACATGTTGCTATTCCAAATCAGATGAGTAGTTGGTTTTCCTCTCATGGAGAGCATCTTATTAAACCTACACTGAACGAGGCAGAAGAGCTTTCTGCACCGTGTTGGAGAGAGAGGTTAATCCAATAAATGTCCAAATTATCGTGACTCCTTGCACACTGGTTAGCACATGGATGATGCTAGACTGGATGAGTAGTCATGGCAAGGTAGCCTTCAAATTTAGACCTGCAGAAAAGACAATCCCTTGTCAGGGTCATATTCAGTAAGAGACATCTCAAAAGTTGACATGGATCGCTTCTCGTTTTGGGGCTACTGCCACTGCGTGGCCAGCCATAAGCAAACGAGGAGTCCAAAACCATTCCCAGTCTGTTGACCACAGATGCTACTGGAAGGCAGATGCCTTGTAATAAAGGTGATGCTTCTTACTGGCTCTTCAAATTATTTACTTCTGCTGCCTGCTGACAGCCCTGCATAGGAGATTGATGGATTAAGCTTTCACCAGCTGTTCTTCATCCAGGCGCCTAATTCTCTGAGATGTTAGCACCAGAGATGAACTATTTCTCTAGGAATTTTCAAAAAGTTCCGCATTTTTATATGGAATTTGGAAAATATGTTCCAAGCCTGTGAGGAAAGTCACACTTGGTATTTTTTCTGCAAAGTAAGAAACTGATGAATTTCACTTGGAGAGATTAAAATGGCATTTTGTTTGGCTCTGTTCCGAAGAACTTCTGAGCCTCGCCAAACTATCTGTGGCTTTGGAGGTGGGAGATATGGAGGAGGAAATGGAAGTCCAGAGGAGGTTGCTGAGGATTTGCAAGGTCCTGGGATATTGCACCTCCAGAGCAGTCAGTCCAAACCCAGGAACTCATCATAGACTGTTCAGGTGCTAGAAACTTTGGATTTGTAGCATCTGAAGCTTTGAGCCCTGTCCAGCATATGTGGAATGCAAAGAAGTGAATGATGGAAATGCTAGAAAATAAATGAGATTTGATGAGATTCTCCATTATCAGTAGTCATTTTTCACCAGCTAGATAGAAATACCTGGACTGGAAAAGATTTAGATTTTTAACCCTTTAAATTAAAAATAGCACTAAAATGTTTCTGCTTATGCTGGACTTTATGAGGCATAGAAATGGGGGGAGAACTGTGTTTCTCTCTTCTTACCCCTTGGTGAAGACTTTTAGAATGCAGTTTCCTCTTCCGTTTCAGTGGCTTGGGTATCATTAAGATTGATGGGTTTGAAAACATATTTCATTATCTCTTAGGCACAGCTTGGCTGCTCTTATGGCTCTTTCCCTGTTGCCAAAACAAAACCTGTTGTTTTCAGAGGCTCTGAAACTAGAGTGCTCTCACTTAAAAGGGCTACCTATCTGCATTTGCCTGTGAAAAAGGTCTGCATGAGAGCAGTCTGATCTGTTGAGGAAGGAATACAATCCTTTTTAGCCTGAAGTAATTGGTAGGGTACAACTGTGTAACGACAGGATGCTGCTGTCATGACCTGCACGTGCATGGGCCCACCTGCAGTGCTTGAACTGGGTGTCCTTGTCCTGAAATGCTTGAACTGGGTGTCCTTCTCTTTCCAGGTCTGGTGTGTCCTCTGGAGGTGTCAGTCAGTTCAGGGAGTATCCAGGTTGCCCGAGGCCAGACAGCAGTATTGCCCTGCACCTTCACCACTAATGCTGCTCTCACTAACCTTAATGTCATCTGGATGGTCATTCCTCTTTCTAATGCCAATCAGCCTCAACAGGTAGGTCCTTTCTTACTGGAGCATGCATTTCTTTGGGGCTTTCCTTTTCCTCATCCTTTTCATGCTGATCTGGGTGTAGTCCCTTTACAATGCTGAGTCTCTGGTTGTCCCAGAACGTTCCCTTCATTGCTGAACCTGCCCTCTGGATCTTACATGAATCTGATTTCTTCAGTGCTTTGTTAACTGATGCACATTGTGCCCTTGGCTGGATGTGCAATTGGGGCAGGTGTACGTGATACTGTATGGCTGCCCTGGATCTCTGGTGGTTTGCGTGTTCAAAAGAGCACAGGAGATGTAATCCAGGTTTTGGTGGACTGGATATGGGATTTGGAGGATCTGGGAGCAGCTGCAGGCTTAAACCTGTGAAATCTATGTAAAATGTGCCAGAACACATGGCCTCTCATAGACTCACTTCCCCTTTTATTTCCCCCCTTACTTTTTCACTGTCTGTTGATTATGCAAGTCCATTCATATGAACATTAGCAAATGAGAGTCTATTATGGTGGGCACAAGAATCATAAACTGCCTGGGTTTTGTCCAGTCTGCAGCAGCAGAATGCCATTGCTCTAAAATCCATCTTGGGTCACACTCTCCCCCTCACATTGGGTATTCACTTGTGAGAACCTGCACTGGAGAGTACCTGCTCCTCAAGAAATCGGTCTGAGTACATACCGCTATATAAGCCATCTGACTGGTAGAGGCTGTGGAGGTTCAAGGGTTACATTGCCTGTCATTCAGTTCATCCCAACGATTTTCACTAAGCAGTGTGACATCATGGCAGGATCTTACTGGCTGAGACTCATAATGATACTGTCCACTGGGTGGATGCTTTCCAGCAAAGTACCCACTGACCTGCAGAGAGTCTCTGCCTCTCTACATCGATACTGTCCAGATGGGTATTATATGAAGCAGGCTGGTATTGTCAATCCAGCTGTGCCAGAAGACTTGGGTATCTATCTGGTCTGTTACCTCTGTGAACATTTTTATTGACATAAAACAGACTAGAGTGTGTTCCTCTTTTAGAGAAAACACCTCTGCTAGTATGGGTCTGCCGGGGACAACTGTATATTGAGGTCTGTTTTTTTAGAGATGCTTTAGGAAATGGTCCTTTCGGATTTGGAAGCCTGTGTTTTACTCGCTGTTTTCCTCCTTTCTCAGCTCCTAAAGAGTGTTGTTTGAGTCTTCCTTTCTTTTCCAGGTTATTCTCTACCAAGGGGGTCAGATCTTCGGTGGTGCACCCCAGTTCTATGGGCGAGTGGGGTTTGCTGTGACAATGCCAACCACCAGTGCCTCCATCTTCATCAACAACACTCAGCTATCGGATACTGGCACATACCAGTGTTTGGTCAACAATCTTCCCGACCGAGGCGTCAGGAATATCGGAGTCATTGGACTTACTGTCTTGGGTGTGTTTATTGGGATTATAGGGGAGAGGGGAGGAACAGGGACAAGGGAATCCTCTGCGCATGGTAGTGCATCATGGCAGAGCAATATGGTAGTGTACACATTGGAGCCCATGGACATCCTGTAGTGAGGGATAGGCTGCCCTGTAGGTATTGTGGGAGTTTGTAGGACACATAGCCTTCATATACAACATAGCATACAATGGAGTTTTAAAATATGGTGGAGAGAAAGGTTTTGTGGCAGCATTGTGATGTGGAGTTGCAAAGAAGCATGAATAAAGTACGAGGGCTTCCTGGAGAGCTGAAGGGACCATAAGAGTTTTGTGCATAGCAACAGGAGAAGAGAAAGACTAGCTTCTGCTTCCTTTTCATGAAAGCAATTAGTATTGGATACCCCCTAGGATGTTAAATACTCCAGAGCGTGTGCAATTATAGGGATACAAAAGAAAATCCAAGCACAGCAAATTCTGTCTGCAGCTCTGTTAGGTCTCACCACCCTTGCTGTCGCACACACAGGAATGTTCACCTTCTTTTTCTGTGCGGGAGGGATCTAAGAGTACTGGGTCCTGTGAAAGTCACCAGTAGTCTGTAACCTTGATGGGCTGGTGGGTCAGGAATCTTTGT